TGTGTATAGCACCCTAGTTTAGCCTGTTAGCTTTACCCTAGACTGGGTTTTATTTCTTAGCATTACATATTCCCCTGGTCCCTATATTTTGCGTATTATATAGTATTTCAATAATTCATTTTTGTTGATAAGTATTCTGTTCTAATTTTATAAGCAAATTAAACAAAATTTTACTACTTTTTGTGTAAAGTTGGTATTCGTTTATCGATTTAAAGAAGAGTATAATTCAGTTTAGGAATAAAAACATTTCTGAATAGAATGTACAATTTGGTAAAATGAACTTCATCTTCAATTGAACTTAAATTTCTGAGTTTATTACTAGGATGTGCACTAAGGAATATTATACATAAATAACTTAGGAATGAAGTCTTCCCTTCCCAATTTCTATGGGAAAAGGCTTTTCTATGGATCAGAGGAGATGCCAACCAAAGCTGACATGTGAATCTGTATCATCATTTAAATAATTTGGAATTTGGTTTTGATCTTCAGTAGGGGTGTCAGGTATACCATATTAATTTTTTATTATAAGAAATACATGATACTATCTGAGAAAAAACACCAATCAAAGTTTGCTGGCTTTAAACTTGTACTAACAAACTGGCTGCCAATAACGCTCTGTGTCCTTCAGAAATATTGCCTCTTTGTCACTCTTCAATTTCCAATATTTGCTCATAGAAAATAGTCTTCAAAAAGATTATGACCTGAGGAATAAAGATCTACAATCCTGAAATAACTAACAGTTGTTTTATTATATTTAATTTATTCCTGTTAGTCAATTTAATGATTGTATTATACAATCGCAATTGTTATAGATATGAAGCCATTTGTTGATATAGTTCATTTGTGGTAACCTATATTAAATGGTAATAAAGTACGATGAAATAGCACATTGAATTCTGCCTCTTCTATTGCATGCAAATCCAGCTCACCCACCTCTTTATTTACAATAAACTTAACGATTGTAGAAATTTTATTTCATTTAGTACGAACATTTGTTGTGGTTGTTTATTAGTTTGAAATGATTTTTTTCCGGCCTTGAGAGATTTATTACAAAAAATATATAAACAAAAAACTCTCCGGAGTTTTTTGTTTATATATATATATACTGTCTCTTATACACATCTAGATGTGTATAAGAGACAGCTCCATCAGTGGTAGCACCAGGATTTGCCCGATGGGGGGTCCGATGTTCCCAACGGAAAAAAGGGGGAGTCGTTGAAAGTCTCTCTAAAGTGTTCCGGGGGAAAAGCCCCCGAAAAATATGATAATTTAGGGGTTTCAAAGGCATATTTAATCGATTTTGGTGATTACTGATATGTAGAAAATACATATACTTTTTTTTTCTCTCCCCAACAAATTGTGGTTTTTCTCACCGCTTTCCATTGGTAAAGTTCCCTCCCCACGCTGCGAATAATATGATGATTGACTCATTTTTATCAAACAATATTCTAGATTATTTTAACCAAATAAATAATTTGTTTTTCTACGGAAATCTTATTATACGGTCCATATGGTCAACTGAAAACTCTAACCGCAGGGGTGGCGCCAGGATTTGCCCGACGGGGGGACGAGGTCCCCGACGGGGGGCCGGGGCCCCCGACGAGGTGTCAGGTTTCCCCGACGAAAGCAAAGTGGGCGTGGTCGAGCTTCGATTAAAAGACTTCAACAGTGGTCCTGGGGGCGAGGCCCCCGATAATTTCGACAATTTAGGGGTTTCAAAGACTTATTTAATCGATTTTAGAGTCTACTAATATGTAAATAATACATATAATATTTTTTCTCCCAGACGAATTGCGCCTTTTCTCCCCGACGGGGGAGGGGGGCAGCTCTCACCGAAACGGGATTCGAACCGAGAGCAGCTTAGCTTAGTTCTTGCTGGTCAGAGAGCAGCATAGCTTAATCGGCTAAACTGGTTGTGCCACTGTGTGTGCTCTGAACCGCGCAGATCTCATGGTGCTCAGTTCAATTCCCATCGCTGCTTTCCTTGTGTTTTAGCTGGAGGGCTGAAATACAAGTTCGAGTCTCCCGGTGTACCAACCATCACCAGAGGGATCTTCTTCGAACTTCCGTGGGTTATACTTGGTGATTACAACGAATATCGAAATCAAACTTATAATCCGAACCAGGGACATTTTGCTGTCTACGCTGACAACATAACTAACTGGCCCATTTAGGCATTTTTTTTAATTCAAATCCGATTAGAACATACATATAGGCCTACGTGTAAACAGGTAGGTAATTAATAACAGTGCTCGAATGGGAACATTATGTTACATTCTTATCTAGTATAGTTATGTTTTTTCCGATGCATGAAAAAGTCTCTTTAGCGGGATTCGATGACAATTATTATCATAATAATAATAATAATGAAAATATTAACAGACCAAATAATAATAAAACTTGTTTTAATTAATTTAATCATCTTTAATTAATAATATTTTTTAAATATTTAGGATATCTTTCGTTTGTAGGAATATGGGAGAAATGAAATATCCGTTTGTGAAATATAATCCATAAACTCTCCAAAGAATGTTGCATGTTTACAGTGTCATATGCATCTGTGCTAATCAATTCAGCTATCGATATTGTGAAAAATTGTGAAAAATCACAATCTTTGAGAGTTTAGGTAGCTAGATTGAGTTGAGGCCACTTTGGTTGCGAGTTTTTTAATTTCTTAAAACTATTTTTAATTCAGCAATAATAACGTATAGAAGTACCCACGACTGGCATTTCTTTTAAAACAACATTTTATGTGTTATGCCAATATGCAATACAACACATATGGATTATTGACTCATCGGCTGCTCTTGATATTGTAGGCAGTTATTCCAGTTATAGGTTTATCTGTAAAGCAATGAAAGATGATATTTATGATGAAATGCAAGATTTACAACCTCTTAGGGCCTACCTATGTGATACGTGTGTCTGTACTCTCTAACAGTGCCCAAGTTGATGTAGCCTAGACCATCACATAATTATGTGAAAGAGAGCAACAACAAATCCGAAATTCTAACAAATAAGGGTGTGATCGAGTCGACTGACAGAGTGGTGTTAAAGCAGGGACTCCGAAACATAGGCCGATACCCTTCTCGTCTATCTAGTTTTATAACCAAGCTTATTCTGAAAAGGAATATTAGGCTAACCTACTTTAAGTGTAAACAAATGATATCGTGTAAACTTTCAAGAACCTAGGACATCTTGCTAGAAAAACAGGGGGTTACCCGGTGTTTTGGTTTAGCCCCTACTCCAAGTATCCAATAGGTCATCATTAACGTAATAGGGCCTACTTGCATTCCGTTTACCTGAACCTATAAGATGTACATATAATAGTTTTAGAATTAACTTTAACCGGACACGTTATCGTAACCTTTTGTTGACTTTTATTTTTGCAGGAGTCTCACTCTTTACGTTATTTTATCCTCTGCTTATTTTGTCCAATTAGCGATGACTCATTACACTAAGCTGACATATATTACAAAATATTATTTATTTAATATGTATGTAATGTATATATACAATGTATATATCCATGAGATAAATTTATTTATTGTTATCGTAAATATTGTCAACGTTTAATTAAAAAAAATATCACCTCAACAGACTGCTTAAAACTTTAAAAAACCGGGGCTAAATATAATATATATACATACATACATACATACATAGAATAAAGAATAATGTTGATGCCAGAAAAAAGTAAATTAAGTATTAAGAAAGAGTATAGATATGGAAATAGTTACTATCACAGTAAGTAACTGGCCATCGGCTAGTACTGCTGCTGTATCCGACTCTCGGCAAAATCTTAATGAATGGCGGATATAATCTTAACAAATTAAGTATTGACTTTTGTAGTTGGTTTATATTACATTAATGTATTCTCGCATGTACGCGTCTCCTTTACCTGATTTATTCAGGTGTGTGCCAGTTTGTATTTATGTATCCTGAATTTTTTTGTACATCGGTGCATATTCAATACATTATCGATACTTTAGATGGCTTTGAAATTCTGAATTTTGGCTTGAGGGTGCAGAATATATAAACATGTATTTTGTCTGATTTATAATGCTTGACGTAAATAATGGGTGGCAAAAAAAAATATATTAGTTATCTTATTCGATTGATTCAGTATGAATTATATTTGCATAAGTTACTGGTAATTTCGACTGTCGGAAATATGTTTGATAATGTGCATTAAATCAAGTAATATAATTGCGTTTATGAAATCTTGTTAATAGTCGTTACCAAACATGCAAAATTCCTTCACGAACATGATTAAACTGATTCATTAATAATGTGATTTTATTTCTCCCTCTGTTTATTATAGCGTTACAACGTAATACTGAGAAATTCAAACAATAGACGTGTATTGTTTTATTTAATTATAGAATAGGCTTGGCCAGTGTTTAATTTATCAATTGACAATTAGAGATGTATTATAACATCTTTCATGGGATTTTAAGTGTGTATATATTGATTCGTTGTTGTTGCTGTCAGGTAGACAGTTTTTAAGATGCTGCTACACTTCGAGGCACATTCGAAATTGTAAAATCTACTTACAAGTACTAATTTTAAATTTAAATATACGTCAGTTAGTTTGAGTTACTCAAGATCGTTTAGAAATATGTACATTTCTTTACGTATGTTTGAAGTTTGATAATTAAATGAGCTTGCCCTTCATTACGATAAATGAAATAGGTACACTAACACATGAACATTGGTGACAATAGGTACGTTCCATTAAATTTAAACGTTATGGTAATAAGTACAATTAAGCAGTTTGAATACTATGGCATTATTTACTATATCATCTTATTCTTTGAACAAATTCATGGTCAGATAATTCGTACATAAAGCATTTGAAAATAAAATGACTTATTATGCCAGAACATGACGTTACCACCACGTGCCTATCCTAGTTGTTCCTGTGTATTTCCGAATCGTAGATTGGTAAAATAGACCAATATTGGGATGTTAATAGTAACGTTTTCAATTTTTAACAGACTTGTTTTCGTGATAGAGGATAATGGAAAAAGATGGTGATGCAAGTAACATGTTCAAATGGAAGGAAAACCCTGCCACGCTTCTCCCTTACACGCCACCCGATTGGGCATCACATTTGAATGGGTCTCCAACAGTAAGAATCAAGGTACGTGTCATAATATATATGCTTATGCTTATGTCACTCAGTTTTCTATTGTCTCTCTATTTATTTATTCATTTATTCCATTTATTTACCCAGAGCAAGCCCAAACAGTTAAAAAACTTATTTCCATGGGGCCCTGTAAATTATACGCTTATACGTAAAACCACAAAACACATCAAAGTAACACTCATGACATTTGAAAAATTTAACTAAAAGATATAGATTAGGTTATGGCCTAAGCCAGCTAACCATTGACGTTATAATAAATAGAACCATAAATACGTGCTAATAACTTAATTTCTGTTTAAATAACATTTGAAAAGGTGCTGCAACACTGTGTTTACATAATTTTATGATAATCCAACGACAGCGTTGGTCTGTGTTGGTTGTTGATACATTGCATTTTGTTTTCCTGTTCTCATAGATTCTGGGTTACGGTACTATTTATTTTGCTGTGTTGATGTTAATTGCATCTGACATTGATTTGTATGCAGTGGCGTATCTAGAAGTCTTGAAATAGGGTGCTGATGGGGGGGGGGGCGAAGGTGAAGTGGGGTGCTCGATGATCAGTTGAGGGGCGCTAATTCGCAAAATAAGGTGATTTTAGGTGATTTGTAACTACCTGGCATTGATTTTTGGGTGACGGCTGAGGGAGGGGGAAGGCGAGTCATTTTTGGAGGGGCGTGCGCCCCAACCCCTTGGATATGAAAATTTTACGTGATTAAAAGCTTTTTCGTTTTT